ACCTCTCCAAAATACTCAAGAGCAACAGTGTCTCTCTGGAGACTAAGGTCCGCCTGATACAGGCCATGCTTTTTGCAATCACTTGTTATGCATCAGAGAGTTGGACAATAACTAGGGAGGATAGAAGGAGAATTGACGCCTTTGAGCTGTGGTGCTGGAGAAGAGTATTGAATGTACCATGGACTGCCAAGAAAACAAATAGATTCATCCTAGAGAGGGTTAAACCAGGCTGCTCCTTGGAGGCAAGGATTCTGGGGCTTCGCCTGACATGTTTTGGACATGTTGTAAGGAGAGACAGGTCTTTGGAGAAGGACATCATGCTGGGTAGAGTAGAGGAACAGCGCAGGAAGGGAAGACCCTCTATGAGGTGGATTGATTCAGTGACTGGGGTACACGGGATGGGTGTGTCGGGGGCAATGAGATTGGCACAGCATAGAGCACGGTTTAGGGCTGTTGTACACAGGGTCGCTATGAGTCGCAAACGACTCGACGGCACATAACAACAACAACAACAATCCTTATTTTTTAATTTGGAAAATTTGATGGTATGTCCTGATGTTTTTCTTTTGGGGTCTAGTCTTTTTGGTGTTTGTCAAGCTTCTTGGATGTCGATTTTTCTGTTCTTCATAATACCTGGGAAGTTTTCTTATAGTACCTCTTCTACAATTTTCTCAGTGATTTCCCTGTCCTTCTCATGTTCTGGAATTCCAGTAATATGTGTGTTGTTCCTGCTGATGACATGCCACATGATTTTACTGTTTTATTAATTTTCTTTATGTCTCATCTCTGCTTCTAGTATGTTTCCATTGAGGCTCCAGCTCACTGATTCTCTATTCCATCTCTTCTGTTCTAATTTTTTTTGTCCCTCCAGCATGGTGCACACTTCTACCATTTTGGTCTTAGTACTCTAGATTGCATTTTTATGCCTTTCTGTTATTTCTAGGACTGTGTTGGCTATACCTTTTTTGTCTTTTGATGACTTTTTTTGTTTGTTTGTTTTGTTCTTGTACCTGTTTATCTGTGCTTTAAAGTCTTTCTTCCATCTTTTGCATTTTTTTCTGTAGCTGTTCAAGTTGCTCCTCATTGATATAGTTCTTCTGGTTCCCTGTTTTTAGATTATTCACTTTTTTAATAGCTTCCCTTATTTCATTATTTCTTCCATCATTTGCACCTTTTTCTGTAGCTGTTCAAATAACTCCAAATCAACATATTTCTCCTAGTTTTCTGTATCTAGGGTGTTCATTGAGTCTGTGATATGCTGTGATATTTAAGTAGAAGGGTTAAGATTTTTTTTTAAAATTATGTTTGTGGCAGACTGCTGCTTTCTTGACATTATATGAATCTTTTCTTGGTAGATGTTATGCTGTTATAAGTGTGTAATATCCTGAGGAAGGGCAATGTTCTGTGAAGGAACAGTATATCCATGCTCCGCTTTTGACTTGAGGGCCACAGGCCTGAGGGCTCAATGAAGGATGCGTGTTGTTCTGTGGACGTGGCTGGTTCATGCTTGGTCCCCTTTGGCTTAAGAAATCCCATACCTTCTCTGCATGCTGCAGTCAGGAAGATTCAAGAATAGCAGTACCTCCTTTGTGGTTTTAAACATTTCAGATATCTCTTAATGGTCCCCCCCCCTCCAGCTGCCAATCAACCATATCTGTGCTATGGCTTTGATTGATTGATTGTTTTTGCTAGATACTATAAAACCCTTCCCAATCCTGTACCATCCTCATAATCCCTGCTGTTTTTAAGCCCATTGGTATAGTCTCTGTGCCTGTTGATCTTTTTTATTATAAGTCTTTATTTTCATATAATAAAATTAATCAAAGAAATATTGATTCCAGGGAAGATGATATTGCAAGGGAGGAGAAGTTGATTACCTTGTATATTTTTTGGGGGAGGAGGAGTTCATTTTCAAATCAACCTCTCCATAAAGTTGAAATAGAATTTAGAGTCTGAGGTAAAAGGATACTCAAAATAAAGTGTAACATCGTACAAGGTAAAAGAATATCAACAGTTACCAACCCTGAGATGAGACAGATATTGAAATTTTCAGACAAAGGATTTATAGTAACTGTGATGGTACTCAAGTTAGGGAGCTCTGGTTTACTGGTAAAGAGTTGTGCTGGCAATCTGAAGGCATGAACTTCAAATCCACAGCTGCTCTGTGGGAGAAAGATGGAGAATTTCCTCCTGTGCCATTCACAGCCTCTTTTCACCAGCTGTAGGATTAGGGTTGGTAAATATTCCAGGGTACATAGCAACAGTGGTGCATCTTTAGTTCCTGGTATGCAGTAGGCACCATATAAGTATTTGTTGAATTATAATTCATGGAAATATATGATAGCTCTATCCTTATATTTAATCTATGTTGAACAGCAATGAGCTACCCAGTATACAGGGACTGTTGCATCTCATCTCCTCCAGTATCTATAGTATAGGTAGCCTTGGCTCCACCCATGATGGATTTATTCTAGAACACATTAGAACACACATAAGAGTTTTGAAGCAAACATCGGAACATTCTTCACTAGCGGTTGGAGGAATACTGTTCCACCGACCAGATACTTTTTCTAACTTAGTTACTTTTCCATCTCCTGAGTCTATTCTGCAAGCAAACCCTGTCACAACAGAGCAAATTCAAAAGAAAGTAATGTAGAATATGATAGAAATCAAAGAGAGAATAGAAAATAAAACCACAAATCAGACTTCTACACTGTTAAAACTTCTCTTTTCTCCCAATTATTCTGAATAGACATTGGGGAAAGATGAGTATTTTCCTTCTTTTATTGCTCTCCCATCTTCATAAACTAGGGTAGTCAATGTGCTGAGTACCAAATTTCAAAAGATGACAAGTCAGTCCTAATTTAGTGGAGAACATAATTTTCTGTAGAATCTAGCCTCTATATTAATGTGAAGTATTCTCCAAGAGTTAGATGGCATTTGTTCACTTGTGTATCATATTTATTCAAGTTGTTTTAAGATCTACCTTTGGGCTTAATACTTTTCACAGTGTTGGAACAGTAAGTACTTCCCAACATTAAGTAGAAAAAGACTTTTACAACAATATGATGAGAGCTGCCACATATGTATTATTAAGTTAAAAATGGTTGCTGCCAAAGCTTTAAGCAAGATTCAATTCCAATCAGTGGGCTTTTCAATAAAATTCTTCTGTTAATATCATTTTATTCAGTTCACAAATAGGATTTATTCAGGATTCTTTTAAATTGTTGTTACCACTGTAGAGTTGGAACCAACTCATAGTTGAACTGCAGTGGGTTTTCAGCGGCACTTAATTGGGCAGGAGGAAATTGCTCATCTTTCTCCCGTGGAGCAGCTGGTGTATTTGAACCATGTTGCTGTGGGTTGGTGGTGCAACTCCTTATCACTAATCCACTAAAGTTTCCTCCTTTAAATTCGTAAACTCTTCTATGTAATGTATATCTTGACCAAATATTGGTATATATCTGAGCAAGAAGCTTGAAATGTGGCAGGAAAACTTTAAAAATCTTAGAAACTATTGCCAAATTTAAATTCCGCAGAGAGAATGTAAAATCATTTGAAATACTGATTTTTAGGCTAATATTCAGTTAAAAAATTCCAATTTATAATTGTAATTTATGTGAAGTTATAAAGTATGTTTGATTAATTAAAAATAATCCTTTAAAATGTAAGATTCTGATATTTGGGGAAAAAGTAATAATGTTCTCATTTTCTTTGTTTGCACAGATAATTATCACCTTTAATTAACATGGGAGATCTAAGAGTCAAACAACTTCTAAATGACATCACATTAAAACCAATAATTATAGCTTTTCTCTAAAGTGAGAGGACAAACCAAATAGCTAGCACTTGGTGGGAAGGTCGCTACATTCCTTTTTCAAGTTGTGCAGCTTTCCTGACACTGGAATCTCTCAGTTTCCTGTTGTAATAAGATTTCTATTAAGTACTCACCAGCTAATAAAATTTCCAACACAAAGGGAACCCATAAATGAGCTGGATGTGAGAATTCTGGAAAAGGAAAGCCTGGATTTTTGTTTGTGGTTGTTATTTTAGACCTCCCCCTACTACTCCTGCCCCCATGAAGTCTGGTCCTGATTTCAGCCAGTCTCAGTTATGCTTAATAACTGATTCTCTAACTTTAAATTCTTTCACATAGAATTTTTTATTTAACAGTTTTACTTTAGTAGAAACTTCATGGAAATTTTTTTTCATGAAAACTTACATTCTAGATCTTGAGATCTAGCTCTAGGTCTATATAACTTCTTATGGAAGAATGATTTTCCTTTCCATTATTCTGCCTATGTCATATTTAAGCATATTAATCTATCCATTTCCTTCTCATAGAGTTTTTCAGCTCTTCATGGATACTAAGATCTCCTTTTTCTAATGTTTCTCTAATTTCTACCTTGAATTTTTTTCCCCCTTATCATTTTTAAAAGTCTCATTTTGAAAAAATTAACATTTTGGGAGACCTCCTCCACCAGCAAAGAAGCAGCAGCAAAAGAATGTAGGACATCCGTCATGACCAGACATTTTTGTACCAACTGCCTCTACAGCAGCAGTCGCCATAGTCAAAGCAGAGGACCAGACATACCTGACATGAGATGGAGCTGACAGTTACCCCCTCCCTAGGGGAAGAACCTCGGCTAAGCTAAGGCCTTTGCCCAAGTTTGTTGGACAATTTGGGGTTGGAGAAAGCCAATATTGGCAGGACTGAGAATTTTGTAGCACAGGCCAAAAGCCTGTGTGTACATTTTGGAAGCTTTCACGACTGCATTCTATTACTAACCTGGATTACAACCTTTTTACTTCCTTAGTATGGTTCTGTGTGGTCTGTGAGCTATCATGTTGGATTTTGGACCCAGAAAACTAGTAGGATTCGTGTTGAGATGAGCAGAAAGAGGCACCTTTGAGTCGAGTATAACTCTTAGTGACTCTATGAACAAAAGACCTGAAACCAGTCCTGTCCTGCACCATCCTCACACTTCCTTACATACAAGAGCCCATTGCAGCAGTCACCTTGTCAATTCACCTGGTTGAGGGTCTTCCTCTCCTTCCCAGATAATCTTGTCATTGTACCATAAACAAGAGGAATTTCTATGTTCTTCCCTTGATCTTTGACAAAATTTTGGAACAACCTTGAGAAATAAAATGTTATTGAATGGGGGGGGAATATACAGTTTGCTTTTATGTTCTTTTCTTCCATAGATGAAATTGTTCCTAAAGTTTTGCCAGTTGTTTTTAGTCTATGGCTTTTAACTTGACATTTTCAGTCTCAGTGAGCTTATCTGGCTTTTTTAGAGTTCTCATTCCCATTTTTCTCATCTCTTCTTTCCTTGGAGCTGGGCTCTTTTTAGAGATACACAAAAAACTCATTAGAAAAACATTTGACTTTTAGCAACCTAGTTCTGTGAATAGATACTTCTGATAGTTAAGTGGTAAGGAGGTACATTGCCAACCTAAAGGTAGGCAATTTGAATCCACAGATTGTTCTGCAGAAGGAAGTTGGGCAATCCCCTCTTGTGCACTTTATAGCTTGTCAAAACCTGCTGGAGTGTCAGCTGTGAGTCATTTCTGACTTGACAGCACATAACAACTACAATCCTGTAAATATGATATTGGTACTTGTGAGATTAAATGTTCTAAAACTCTTGCTTAGTGATAAACAATTTTTCAGTTGTACAAGTGAGAATGGGTATTACTGAATTTCAGATGAATGCTGTCTAGTTTTATGAGTTGGTCTGCTTAGCTTGTAAAGTTATAATATCCATTACATTTCATTTATGCTGTCAAGAATATAGGCCTTTTTAGAAATCCTTTTTAACTCTTCAAGTGATAGGTTTCTAACTGAGAAACAGTCACATTCAGTGAGATTTGCTATAATTTTTTGAAATAATTTTTCTGAAGTTTCACACAGAACATATGCAGTGCTTAAAATGAACATTTTAAGATAATTTCATAACACGAGATAACATAATCTGTGCCCTAATTACTCAACTCTTCAATCCATAGAAAAAAAATTAGGGAAAATTTAGAAACGCTATACTCAACAGTCTTGACACCAGCAGCCAGGAAATTAAAAGGCGCATTGCCATGGGAAAGTCTGCTGTTAGGGACCTCTCCAAAG